GGAGAAGGAAGGAAGAGAGACTGGAGGAAAGCAGGAAGGGAAGGAGAGAAGACAAGAAGAAATGGGAAAAAGAAAGAAGGAATGAAGAGGTCGGCTAAAAGAGAGAAAGAAAATGAGAATCTGAGAAAGGAAGGATTGAGAGAATAACAAATGAAAAAAGAAAGAGACACACACACAAAAAAAAAAAAAGAAATCGGAAAAAATATACATACTGGAACTATGACATTTTTTTCTCTTTCCCAAGGTTACTGCGAATGACACCTATTACCACATTTTGCACAATAATCTAAAATTCTCAAATATTTCACTTTATTGCATCATTGCCCCGAGATGATGATCACGTATCAAGTCTGATCTCAGATTTCCCTAATGAATTTGCAAGATATTCCCTTCCACAGATACACTCTTTGCTTTGGTATATTCGCGATGATTAAATATGTTTTCTTACTTTTATTTGGAAAGTAAGAAATTCCTGTGTTTGAGAACGTGACGTTATACTTGATATTATTAAGAGCATAAGAAAGATATCAATATTCTTAAATAGAATAAAAAAAAAATACTACCAAGCAGTAAATTATAAAAAGGAGAAAGAGTTTAACAGGTTAACAAACAGAAGTGGATGTTGCAACTGCAAACTGCGCAAAGGATGCAATTACCAAAGATAAGAGCAACATGAGCTTCTAAAAAAAAAGAGAAAGAATAAAGAAAAACTTTTTGAGCTCGAAGTGAAATCTAATGCCAAAGTCGTGATCATTTTACTTTTCATTAATCTATTTTCTTGTTACACGCGCCGATTTCTGAAACGAACGTATATTGCAGAAGATGCTTTTAACAGCTGTATCACTTTTGAAAGCACTGAGAGTTAAACCAAAGGACATGATTTGGGAACTATCAGGATATATATAGAACAAAGTATGTTGTTCTGAAGATGAAGAACAAAAGGGAAAAAAAAGGTGAAAACTAGCAAGTATTCTTTGCTAATCGATAAGTCTACTAACGTTAATAGCAATCTATATTTGTCTGGGTGTTCAGTATTTCTCATATTAAATCATTTGCGTTTTAGAAATGAGTGTTAGGATCTACGTATTCTCATGTTGCAACTCCGTTAGAGAACAAACAGTAATGTCTACTTCCCTTCCAATGCATATGTGATCACACGAGACTTTTAGCTACAGATATATATGTGTAATGTTGGTCGTATCATAAGGGTTAACTCTGGTGTTTCTGAATCAGTTACTCAAGTAATTCATCAGCTGTTAATCTTGTTAATGACACTGTTAATGTAAGTCATAAGTTTGTATCAATCTCAGTATGGTAACCCTTTCTCCACGTAGGCTGGAAACAAATGACGTAATGTCTAAGTGACTTTGATTAAACAAAACTTTTGTGGAAAGAATATTTCCGTCATGTACCAAGGATCAAAACAAGAGTAACAGAAGTAATTGAATCAGTGTTTAAAACAACAAGGTCTCTCGTAAAATATATAAATAGATAGATAAATAAATAAATAAATAAATAAAATAAAATAAAATAAATCCTTAGAAGTAAAAGAAACAGTATTAACAACAATAAGTCCCGTTAATGAAGAGAAAACAATGTTAAACTGACGGCTCAGTTTAATCAGTTAATCAGTGTATAAACGCCAAACTGAATACACCAAAGGCCCACACACATTAGCTTGAAGTACAGTTGAATGTTACCCAAAGGAGCAAGAACAATAGAATTTTGAAATAATGAAGAACCTTTTTATATAACCTGGAACTGTTGTTATTCAAGAGAAATCTTCTAAGAGAAAACTTGGTGAATTATGATATTAGTGGGAATATTTTGTAAAAGCACTAGGTATATGGTATGTGCCCCGCGGTCTGCCATTTATGTGGCGTTTGAAGACTATTTAAAACGTGTATTAAAGAGATTATATTTGATCTGTCATGTTTTATTGGTTAATATCATCACAGTGGCTTATTCGATATCGTGGGGCATTTCAGCACTAAATATGAAAAAATTGGATGTGTGTTTGTACTAAATATGTAATTTAGTATGTAACTTAATACAAAAACTGAAAAAAGTATATCACACTATAGTTTAGGAATACAATATATATGTGTGTGTGTGCGTGTGTGTGTGTGTGTGTGTGTGTCTGTGTGTGTGTGTGTGTGTGTGTGTGTGTGTGTGTGTGTGTGTGTGTGTGTGTGTGTGTGTGTGTGTGTGTGTGTGTTTGTGTGTTTGTGCTTAAGATGGATATTGGCTTTTCTTTAAGATTAAGAGAGAGAAATACCTGGCAACCCTGTTGTAGGAATGTTGCCAACAGCTGCATATTTTAAAATTCAAAGGAAAGGAAAAAATATTTCTACTTTTAGACTTTAAATTATAGCAATATTGTATACCCGCTATATGTTAACTTGTATTTCTCTTTCTTTTCAGGTATCTGTCTCTCTACCTCTGTATCTATATGTGTGTCTATTTCTTCGTTTCCAATCATCTGTTCAGTGACTAAGGTGGATCCTCCCTTACTAACCTCGCGAGGGGGGCGAGGGGGGCGAGAGGCATAGTAAGAAATACCAAGGAGTTTACATATGTATACGTGTTTTTTTTAAGACATTGAATTACATTACAAACCTGCTTAGGAGGTTACTCTACCCCCACTATAGATTCTCTTTTAACATGTCTACCCATCTAACACATCTATTTACTAATTTCTTTGTTTTTCTGTCTACCTTCCCCACCCATGGTACTTAGGTTAACTACACGGTCCTGAGTGTATATAACATTTACGCAACCCCGTGGAATATATGACGTTCCTGTTAATATTTTACAGAATAAAGCACTGCCTCTTTCATTCAGGGTGTTTGATGTCTTTATTAATGTTATGAAACTGTAACTCAACTTATTACCGCTGCCCAATATGCGTATGACATATAAATACATATAAAAGTATGCATATCAAATATACTTATTGTTCCGTGTTAAAATACACTAATCTTGAGCCAACATGATGTACTGTTTGAACTCATTATTGCCTGAACGGGTATACTGATCTATTCTATATCAAAAAAGAAAAATATTCAATTACCTATGCGTCTAATATTTGCTACTCAAAGGTTATGTAGGTCCAATAATAATAATGATAATAAAAACACGAGCGCGTTATTATACAGCTTTTCAGTAGGTAAGAATGTGTGTGTGTGTGTGTGTGTGTGTGTGTGTGTGTGTGTGTGTGTGTGTGTGTGTGTGTGTGTGTGTGTGTGTGTGTGTGTGTATGCATAGAAAGAGAGAGAGACAGAGAGAAAGAAAGAGGGGTGGGAGAGAGGAGGAGCGAAAGAAAAAGACATACAGACAGAAGTACAGAGATAGGGATAGACAGATAGATTGATAGATAGTGAGAGAGAGAGAGAGAGAGAGACAGACAGACAGACAGACAGACAGATAGACAGAAACAAACAAACACACAGACAGACAAGTTAACAAATAAACAGACAGCCAAACAGAGACAGAGAAAGTTTAATTTCTGACCTCAAACTTTTAACACACAAAGTCGACGGCGATGAAGTAGGCGAGCCCAGCCTACCTTTTAACTTCAATAGCCTCCGGAGACAGTTTATAGCACAAACTTCTTCTCTCGCATGTATTTAAAGGTCCTCTAATCGGCTCCACTAACTTTTTGTATCGGGAATGTGTATTTTCCTCCTTACTCGTCTTACGTTTCCCCCACCACCTTCTCCCTCTCTTTATTATAATGATAATAATAATAACAATAATAATAATATTAGCAATAATAATAATATTAGATAATGATAATAATAATAATGATAAAAATATAAATAATAATAATAACAATATTAATAATAATGATAAAGATTATAAATAATAATGATAATGATAATAATAATAATAACAATTATAATAATAATAATAATAATAATAATAATAATAATGATAATAATAAAATAATAATAATAATAATAATAACAATGATAATAATAATAATAACAATAATAATAATAATAATGATAATAATAATAATAATAATAATAATAACGATAACAATGATATTAAATAATAATAATACTGATAACAATAATAATAATAACAACGATAATTATCATCATCATCCACACACACACCCTACACGCATTCCGCCCCACAGAACCGCCACGAACCGCATCATTTACCTTGGTCCAGGTAGGTACAGGCACATCAGCAGCCTGCAGCATTAGCAACACGTGATATGGCACCATGAGCAGAACCGACGTCAGCATGGAACAGCATAACACAGTCACTCCCATGACTGATTTCAGTACCTGTGTGAGAGGAGGAGAGGGAGAGGCAGGTAGATTATGGCAAGGGTAATGCTAGTTTTTATTTTTGTTTTTAATGTTGTTGTTATCTTTTTTTATTGGTATTGTTGTTGTTGTTTTGGTGTTGATGCTGTTGTTATTTTTATTGATATTATCGTAATCATAATGGTTGTTAGAATTATGATTATTATGATAACGAAATTTCGTCATCATCTTTATCATCATCACTCTTATCATAGCAATATAATAATAACGATAAAAATAACATAATAACATGACATGATAATAACACAGCACCAACAACCAACAATGAAAATTTTTAAAAACATATATATATAATAAGTTTCTATTTAGGACAAAAATTGGGTCACAGGCAACTCAGTCGGGAGAAAGAATATGCAAATTGGAACTGCGCAGTTGAATATATTCCTGGCATCAAATTTAGCTGAATGTCAAGATCAGAAACATGGAAATGATTTGATTTAGGTATTGTAGTTATTATTCATTTTATTCATAACTAGAACATGGTGGAGGAGGAAAAAATGTTAAGGCTTTTACACTCTGGATAAATTACGTTGCTATTTTTTTTTTTTTTCTCTGGTTTGAATTAGCAAATATTCTGGGAAATTTAAATTGTGATTTTCCCATGGTTCTTTTTTTTTATTTCGCGTTGATTCGTTTCTCACTAGTAATGCTAATTAA